TGACTGGGGTAACTAGAAGATGATGGGATGAGGAAAAGCATGGGATGTGCCTTTTAAAAATACAGTGGTGCCTTGCATAGCGAGGGGTGGCCATGGAGGAGCCCCGACATAGACAGAGTGGTGCTATCGGTTGCCCCAAACTGCTGGTGTCTGACTCGGGTAACTAGAAGGTGATGAGATGAGGAAAAGCATAGGATGTGCCCTTTAAAATATGTATTTAGTCCATTCAAGAAACAGATCGGACACCACAAACGGAAACTTCGAGAAGTCCAGAGTATGGCGGCCAGGTTAGTGAAAGGAGTTAATAAATACCAGTTTATCTCCCCCGATACTGGCTGCCTTGCACAGACTATCGGTCCATTTCTGTATCAGATCCAAGGTACTGTTTTTCATCTATAAAGCCCAGAATGGCTTGTGAACATCGACTTCCAACAGGGACTGCCCTTCCCACCCATACATCCCAGGCTGGAGGGCTGACAGCGTTAACCGCAAGGGAGGAATAGAAGGGGACTTCAAGGCGCCAGGACTTCTTGATTGTGAGAAGGAGCTGGCACCTGACAGTCGTCCAGCACGCTCTCTGACAACCTATAAGAAATCCCTTAAAACCTTCTTATTCTGGCAGGCTTTTCCAAAGTACCCCATCTGAATATCCTGCTGGGAGTATTGCTCTCTCCTTTTAAAGCTGCCTGTTTCCAAATGTAATGTTAATTTGTTTTTAACTATGCTTATGTTATTATATGTTATTATTAACGTTGTAAACTACCCAGAGTGACCATCGGTCAGATGGGTGGTATAGAAATTGAATGAACAAACGAATGAACAAATGAATGAGCGAATGAATAGGTAAAATGAGCGTTAACCCCAAGGGAGGAATGGAAGGGGACCTCAAGGTGCCAGGACTTCTTGGTTGTGAGAAGGAGCTGGCATCTGACAGTCGTCCAGCACGCTCTCCGACAACCTATAAGAAATCCCTTAAAATCTTCTTATTCTGGCAGGCTTTTCCAAAGTACCCCATCTGAATATCCTGCTGGGAGTATTGCTCTCTCCTTTTAAAGCTGCCTGTTTCCAAATGTAATGTTAATTTGTTTTTAACTATGCTTATGTTATTGTATGTTATTATTAACGTTGTAAACTACCCAGAGTGACCATCGGTCAGATGGGTGGTATAGAAATTGAATGAACAAACGAATGAACAAATGAATGAGCGAATGAATAGGTAAAATTTGTCATAAGCTGCTTGCCAGTCTTTGAGTCCCTGCTCTAAAAATAATCTGGCCTGGACACCTA